GATGGTTCTTGTGATGGTTCTTATGATGTTCTTGTGTTTGGGTTCTTATGATGGTTCTTGTGATGGTTCTTATGATGGTTCTTGTGATGGTTCTTGTGATGGTTCTTATGATGGTTCTTGTGATGGTTCTTGTGATGGTTCTTGTGTTCTTGGTTCTTATGATGGTTCTTGTGATGGTTCTTATGATGGTTCTTGTGATGGTTCTTGTGATGGTTCTTATGATGGTTCTTGTGATGGTTCTTGTGATGGTTCTTGTAATGGTTCTTGTGTTTTTTTGGTTCTTATGATGGTTCTTGTGATGGTTCTTATGATGGTTCTTGTGATGGTTCTTGTGATGGTTCTTGTGTTTCTTGGGTTCTTATGATGGTTCTTGTGATGGTTCTTATGATGGTTCTTTGTGATGGTTCTTGTGATGGTTCTTATGATGGTTCTTGTGATGGTTCTTGTGATGGTTCTTGTGTTTCTTGGGTTCTTATGATGGTTCTTGTGATGGTTTTATGATGGTTCTTATGATGGTTCTTGTGATGGTTCTTATGATGGTTCTTGTGATGGTTCTTATGATGGTTCTTGTGTTTCTTGGGTTCTTATGATGGTTCTTGTGATGGTTCTTATGATGGTTCTTGTGTTTCTTGGGTTCTTATGATGGTTCTTGTGATGGTTCTTATGATGGTTCTTGTGATGGTTCTTGTGATGGTTCTTGTGATGGTTCTTATGATAGTTCTTGTGATGGTTCTTGTGTTTCTTGGGTTCTTATGATGGTTCTTGTGATGGTTCTTGTGATGGTTCTTGTGATGGTTCTTGTGATGGTTCTTATGATGGTTCTTGTGATGGTTCTTGTGTTTCTTGGGTTCTTATGATGGTTCTTGTGATGGTTCTTGTGTTTCTTGGGTTCTTGTGATGGTTCTTGTGATGGTTCTTGTGTTTCTTGGGTTCTTATGATGGTTCTTGTGATGGTTCTTATGATGGTTCTTGTGATGGTTCTTATGATGCTTCTTGTGTTTCTTCGGTTCTTATGATGGTTCTTGTGGTGGTTCTTATGATGGTTCTTGTGATGGTTCTTGTGATGGTTCTTATGATGGTTCTTGTGATGGTTCTTGTGTTCTTGGTTCTTGTGATGGTTCTTATGATGGTTCTTGTGATGGTTCTTGTGTTTCTTGGGTTCTTATGATGGTTCTTGTGATGGTTCTTGTGATGGTTCTTATGATGGTTCTTGTGTTTCTTGGGTTCTTGTGATGGTTCTTGTGATGGTTCTTGTGATGGTTTTGTGTTCTTGGTTCTTATGATGGTTCTTGTGATGGTTCTTATGATGGTTTTATGATGGTTCTTATGATGGTTCTTGTGATGGTTCTTATGATGGTTCTTGTGTTTCTTGGTATGAGGTTCTTGTGATGGTTTTGTGTTTCTTGGGTTCTTGTGATGGTTCTTGTGATGGTTCTTATGATGGTTCTTGTGATGGTTCTTATGATGGTTCTTGTGATGGTTCTTGTGTTTTGGGTTCTTGTGATGGTTCTTGATGGTTCTTGTGTTTCCTGGGTTCTTATGATGGTTCTTGTGTTTCTTGATTCTTGTGATGGTTCTTATGATGGTTCTTGTGATGGTTCTTATGATGGTTCTTGTGATGGTTCTTATGACGGTTCTTGTGATGGTTCTTGTGTTTCTTGGGTTCTTATGATGGTTCTTGTGATGGTTCTTGTGATGGTTCTTATGATGGTTCTTATGATGGTTCTTGTGATGGTTCTTATGATGGTTCTTGTGATGGTTCTTATGATGGTTCTTGTGTTTCTTGGGTTCTTATGATGGTTCTTGTGATGGTTCTTATGATGGTTCTTGTGATGGTTCTTGTGATGGTTCTTATGATGGTTCTTGTGATGGTTCTTGTGATGTTTCTTGTGTTTCTTGGGTTCTTATGATGGTTCTTGTGATGGTTCTTATGATGGTTCTTGTGATGGTTCTTGTGATGGTTCTTGTAATGGTTCTTGTGTTTCTTGGGTTCTTATGATGGTTCTTGTGATGGTTCTTATGATGGTTCTTGTGATGGTTCTTGTGATGGTTCTTGTGTTTCTTGGTTCTTATGATGGTTCTTGTGATGGTTCTTATGATGGTTCTTGTGATGGTTCTTGTGATGGTTCTTATGATGGTTCTTGTGATGGTTCTTGTGATGGTTCTTGTGTTTCTTGGGTTCTTATGATGGTTCTTGTGATGGTTCTTATGATGGTTCTTATGATGGTTCTTGTGATGGTTCTTATGATGGTTCTTGTGATGGTTCTTATGATGGTTCTTGTGTTTCTTGGGTTCTTATGATGGTTCTTGTGATGGTTCTTATGATGGTTCTTGTGTTTCTTGGGTTCTTGTGATGGTTCTTGTGTTTCTTGGGTTCTTATGATGGTTCTTGTGATGGTTCTTATGATGGTTCTTATGATGGTTCTTATGATGGTTCTTGTGATGGTTCTTATGATGGTTCTTGTGTTCTTGGGTTCTTATGATGGTTCTTGTGATGGTTCTTGTGTTTCTTGGGTTCTTGTGATGGTTCTTGTGATGGTTCTTACGATGGTTCTTGTGATGGTTCTTATGATGGTTCTTGTGATGGTTCTTGTGTTTCTTGGGTTCTTGTGATGGTTCTTATGATGGTTCTTGTGTTTCCTGGGTTCTTATGATGGTTCTTTGTGTTTCTTGGATTCTTGTGATGGTTCTTATGATGGTTCTTGTGATGGTTCTTATGATGGTTCTTGTGATGGTTCTTATGACGGTTCTTGTGATGGTTCTTGTGTTTCTTGGGTTCTTATGATGGTTCTTGTGATGGTTCTTGTGATGGTTCTTATGATGGTTCTTATGATGGTTCTTATGATGGTTCTTGTGATGGTTCTTATGATGGTTCTTGTGATGGTTCTTATGATGGTTCTTGTGTTTCTTGGGTTCTTATGATGGTTCTTGTGATGGTTCTTATGATGGTTCTTGTGTTTCTTGGGTTCTTATGATGGTTCTTGTGATGGTTCTTATGATGGTTCTTGTGATGGTTCTTGTGATGGTTCTTGTGATGGTTCTTATGATAGTTCTTGTGATGGTTCTTGTTTTCTTGGTTCTTATGATGGTTCTTGTGATGGTTCTTGTGATGGTTCTTGTGATGGTTCTTATGATAGTTCTTGTGATGGTTCTTGTGTTTCTTGGGTTCTTATGATGGTTCTTGTGATGGTTCTTGTGATGGTTCTTATGATGGTTCTTGTGATGGTTCTTGTGTTTCTTGGGTTCTTATGATGGTTCTTGTGATGGTTCTTATGATAGTTCTTGTGATGGTTCTTGTGTTTCTTGGGTTCTTATGATGGTTCTTGTGATGGTTCTTGTGATGGTTCTTATGATGGTTCTTGTGTTTCTTGGGTTCTAATGATGGTTCTTGTGATGGTTCTTATGATGGTTCTTATGATGGTTCTTGTGATGGTTCTTGTGTTTCTTGGGTTCTTGTGATGGTTCTTATGATGGTTCTTGTGTTTCCTGGGTTCTTATGATGGTTCTTGTGTTTCTTGGGTTCTTGTGATGGTTCTTATGATGGTTCTTGTGATGGTTCTTATGATAGTTCTTGTGATGGTTCTTGTGATGGTTCTTGTGATGGTTCTTATGATGGTTCTTGTGATGGTTGGGTTATATATGTCTGTTGGGTATCGTGCACTTTGGGTTCTTTTCTGTTGAATTGTATTTAATTATTTTTAGTATTTAGTATTTGTTATGTTCTTGTTGTTGTTTATGTTCTTCTGTGTTTGGTTTAGTTTGTTCTTGTTTTTGTTGTTTGTCAAAACACTTTGTAAACCTGTGTTTTTAAAAGGTGCTATAGAAATAAAGTTATTATTATTATTATTATTATTATTAAATTCATCACCCAGTTCCTTGTTAATATGTCAACATTGCTTGTTCATTAATGAATTTTAACATTCGCTGTTTTTGGACAATAGAGTAAACACACTGCTGTCAAATAATAAGAAAATATCATCAACACAATTCAGGAAAACTTTTCACCAGATTAAAACAAGTGAGGAGAACGGTGAATGTATAATGTAGGGTAATGATTACTTAAAAACATTTTGAGTGTCTAGCCTGTTTAGATCATCCAGTTTATTTTCATTCAAGGCCCCGTAACTTCTGGTAAAAAACAAAAAAAACAAACTGAGAAACAATTCATCAAAAAATTGGGCAAAAAATAAAATGTAAGACTTGAGTAATATTAAACCGAAATGTACACATCTTATTCACTCTATATATCCTGCCATCTTTTGTAAGGCATTGGTAATGAAGTTATTCACAATTAATGAGAAATGTTTGTACACACGCTTTGACACTCATTTAAATTCAACTCATAAATGTAACTATTAAAACGGTGGTTACCACTTTAAACACGAGAGCAGAATATTGTGTTGTATGGTAACAAGTCTAGTTTGCTTTTTTGTATTAAAGGGACATTCAGTGAAATCAGTCATCAACCTCAAAGTATGATTCACTTTTTGAGAAAAACTTTCAATTGATGATCCAAAAAACTTTGATTTGTCTTTAGTGACACTGAATATAAGTTTCTGTTTCTTGCTGTGAGTTTGAAGAACATTAAGATCTTCATGAACTTAATACAAGTGTTAGACATTACAGGATAAACATTCAACAAATTTGACATTTGTTTGGTTGATTTTAAATCTTCTGACCCGATAATTCCCACCTTTTTAACAAATCCTTCTGCTTGGGATTTTAGTTTCGTTGAAATGAAATTTGTTTTTTATTTCTATTTTATTTTTTTCCTGTAGTACTTTGAGATTTTTTCTTGCAAAAATGTAAAGTGCGGTACAAATTAAATGTATTATTATTAATTCTAGCCTCAGTCTTCAATACTTGGAAATAGAAATGCACATCAAGGATGAATGAAAGGCAACTAACAAGCCTGATGATAGTGCAAGAGATGAACACCTTCAAATATTTTAGTGATAGAACATGACTAATCCCATAACCATTTTCCACAAACACACATCTCCTCAAAAGATCTTTTATTACATAATAAGAAAAGTGACTCTTAATATGCTGAAGTTTGACACTTTTCACTTAAACTGCTTCAACAGTGAAGACTCAGATTGTATTTTATAAACTCTCAAATTAGTACTCTCTAAAATGCTTCTTAAAAAAAAATAAATGCATTTTTAGTTTCAACATGTTTTTGATAGGAAGTGAGACTGAATTGAGGTGCCCGATAGCCCAGCTGTTGCATCACACGGCCCATTTGAGACCCAGTATCAGGTGAACTGGGTTAGATTCCAGCCCTCATCACTTAGCCGCATGTCATCTCTCTGTTTTCTAAACTTTCCACTGAATAAAGGCATCAAAACCCCAAAACTGATCTGAAAACAAGTGAGACTGAATGTCATGTTTTCAACAGCACTTTAATGCCAAACAAATCTAATGTAACATCATCAGCTCATTTACTATATGATACAAAAAACCACAATGACTACAAGAAGAGATAACTCACAGTTACTCACTGCAGTCTGTTTTATAAGTAAGTACATTATGTGGTGTTCTTCTAGTTCGATCAAGAACACATAATCCAACACAAACACAGTGCTATAGAACTGTGGTGTTGTTCATCCATGGAGAGCCCCAGTTTGTTTGTTTTTTCACTGAAACTTCCATCACTGTTTTTCCTCTGCTGTACATGTACTCCTATCGGACAACACACTCAAACACTGATCCCAGTAAACTCTAAGCCTTGGTGGAGCTGCTCTTTGCGGGGGGCTCGCTGGTCTTGGGCCGTTTGGACTCTGGGGGCTGGCAGACTGGATCAGTGGGAGGAGACGGGCGTTCTGAAGAAAAACAAATAAAGGAAATCAGTGACAGTTGAAATGAGACATGATAGCTTTATAATCGACAAGAATTTGTATGTAGCATGTAGGATCTTTGATTTAACAAATTAAAATAAGCATTTATGTAGCAGACCAACAAATAAGGTAGCATGTTTGAAAACTAATAGTTCCTTCACTGCTGACTGTTGGCTCTTATTTGGATGATTTAGGTGTTTTCAGAAGATAATGTGTTATAGCGTTCACATCCCATGTTTGTTGTTTTTAATGATTTTGACCTCTCACTTGGTTTGGTTATTAGTTTTCTGGAAACATTCCATGTGGAGGGCAATGTGTGTGTGAGATATAATCCTGGAACCAATCGTCTACTGTCTGAAAACAAATCAGCTTTTTATTCATCTAAGAGGAATCAGCCTGCCAGAGGAGATCAGACGTGCAGATTCAGTCCCTTGTTTTACATCCCTACTCAAGACATTCTTTTATAAAAATGCTTTTACTCTGTGATTTTGGTAATTGTTCTTATTTTTATTTTATTAGTCTGATTTTGTTTTCTGCTTGTTTACGCTCTGCCTGTTGCTTTAATTGTCTCTCTGCTTTTATTTTCTGTTGTAAAGCACTTTGTTACTTGTATAGAAAAGTGCTATACAAATAAAGTATTATTATTATTATTATAAACCCTGTGCAGGAAAAAGGAGGTCAGATATCTGCTGGCTACACCTGAAGACACAACATGGAGCCGTCGCCTGCACAGGCTAAATGTGCCAAATAATGTCTTGTGGGATTCTAAAATATATAGTACCAATGAGTTTAGAATCAAGATAGATACAAACTCCAGGGTTAGGCACCAAAGTGGTGTTTTTGTTGTTGTTTTTTTGTTGTTTTTCCCCCTTCTCTACATCAACAAGCTCTGAACACCAACAATGTGTACACACTCACTTCCTGGTTTGACTTTGGCCCGCTGTGCTTTCCTTGGAACTCAGTTTTCCTGTTTATACAATGGCATATTATTTACATGTGTGTGTACTTCATTTTTATTACTGGAGTGGCATGGGTAATCAGAAAGTCCTAAAAGCTTGTTTACAACTTCTGACTGTGTGACTGCTTCAGCATTATACTCCACTGGTTTTCTTTCCTTCAGCGTGTAAAAGTTTGGTTCACCCAGTGGGAATGATGCTCAAAACTACAAATATGAGCCCTGACCTGGGTCTTTAGCTTTTCTTAAAAGATGCAATGACTTAATTGACTTAATAATTGGGGTTTTGTAGATCAGCATTTTTGAAAGGTTACATCAATAAATAAAAAAATTGAGTTTTTGATCAAAGCTGCAAAATAAAAAAGGATAACTGTCCATCCTGTATTTGACATTCTTTTCAAACTTCTGTTGTGACATTTGAAACAAAAACAGCCAGAGAAAAAAAATGGACCCACTGACCGTGTTTGGCCTTCTCAGTGGACGAGGGAGTGCGGAAGAGTGAACTAACAGCTGGAGAGCGAACTGCGACTGGAGTCAAAGACACTCGCCTGTAAACAAATAGAAAAAATAAGCTTTGACAAAAAACACATAAATAAAAACATTAAACATCGATACCTTCTACAGTGAACAAAATGCTCCACTTCATTAATCCTGATTTAAGTTTTTTTTAAGTGTGGCAAAGCTAGTTAAAACCAAGGAAAACATTCAACATTACAAGTAAAAACACAGCAGCATGTGCCGACCTGCCCATTGTCTACACAGTCTGCCACAGTGATTATATTTTTTAGAGTCAGTGGGGGTCCAACGAATCCTTCATAGCAGACAGGGCTTTGTTCTCCCTGCCAGAGCTGAGCGCATGCTAACCAACAAAGACCTCACAGGCCCGCTTCAAGCTAGTCACATTTCTGCATTCTTCAAGCTTCATCATTTCATTTTAAGTATTTAAGAACATTTCTCCCTCTGACTGTTCCTCTCTGTTAACTTTAGAGATAATCAGATTAGTGATTCAATCAGTTGAGGCAGGGAGCTGGACGTGTGTTCTTGGGGAGGTGCTTCCTCTGACTTCAGTCACAGCACATTTGAATAGTATTTTACTAAATGACAACATGTATTGTGTGAGCAATACTACATAGCACCCAGTGACTTCAAAAAGGACATCACTGAGCTGGATGTCGTGGGTGCAGTTTTACTGAGGAGGCTACGATGGAGGGTCCATTATATAGTTTGTGTTTTTGAAATGTGTTTCCTGTACAGTGCAGGCAAAGCGGTACGCAGCCTGTGAGCCTGAGCTCAGGGCAACAAACCCCACTGATGTGTTTTCAGAGCGTCACACACACATTTGAAGATATTTGTACGCATTTGTGGATCTTGCACGTCAGAGTGTTGTCACATGTAAAATAACAGCCAATGGCGAGGCCCGCCTCAGCTGTAAGCGATCATTTGTTTGTATTTTCAGGATTTACAGCTGAAAAAGTTCACTGCCATTAATAAATAAGTAAATGTTTAGAAACTGGTCTACATGTCTTTTTACTCATATTCAAATAGTTTTGCCACAATAATACTTATTGTGTATTGATGAAGCCCACCAGCACACGGGGGTCTCTCTTTATATTCTTCTTAAAGCTTCCCGATGTGTCTGCACCTTCATGTCAACATGAACAGGTCAAACATAATGGGTTAGGATCATGTTTTTGTATAGTTAAGATTTAACCCACCTCTCTAGAAGGATTTTGGAGAAATGTCCCTGAAATCATTATTTGTTCAAATGATTGAAACTCTAAGACAAACTTGTTTCCAACATGTGGATTTTTGTGGTTTGAGAAACGGTTGTAAAGAGTTGTTGCACTGAGAAACATGATCACATCCTGTTCTCAAACAAATCTCAACTCTGCAATCCCAGCTCGTGCTCACTGAGTCGATTCATCTGAAAATGACTTCATGAATAAAGTGTCACTAACTTTTTAACGTAGGCGATGACAAATAAATACCTAAGTCGTTTGGTTGTTATGTTTTGAACGCATCATGAAAAACACGTTTTGGCAGTTTGGTTTGTTTACAGATGTTAGTCACAGGAACAGACAAAAACAACTTCATCACTTGTCTAAACACTGATATGCTCAGTGACATCACGACAGCAAACATATGAAGTATTAACACACAACTGTCATTATTAATATTTATGTGATCATGTCCATTCTAACGAGTTCCAGCCCGAAAACTGTTAAAGGTCACTGTCAGAGGTCACGTGCATTTACCTCGGTGTTGGTCCCTTTGGGGTTGTTGGTCCCTTAGGGGTGTTGGGCCCAGCAGCATTAGCACTGTTGAGGACTTTAGGGGTGGAGGGAGTGAGAGGGGCGATGCAAGGCTGGGTGGAAGAACTGGTTGGGGTGAGGGGGCAATGCGAGGCTGGGTGGAAGAACTGGTTGGGTGAGAGGGCGATGCGAGGCTGGTGGAAGAACTGGTTGGGGTGAGAGGGGCGATGCGAGGCTGGGGAGTGGAGGGCGTGCTTTTGCTTGCAGACGTTGGCGTCTGAGGGGCTGAAGGAGCTGCGGCTTTAGGGGTGGAGGGCTTCCCCCAGCCCTCCAGGGTGTTGAGAGTGATCCTGCGGGGCTGAGGTTTAGCTTTGCCGCTGGGGGTGCTCTTCTTCTCGTCTGGGGGGGTGACATCCTTGCCGGGTTGGGATGAGGGCGTCAGGGCTGAGCTCGGCAGCGGGGTCACAGGAGATGACGTCCTCGCTGTCGACGACTTCTTGCCCTTTTTCTCGGCAGCACTGCTGGGGGCAAAGACCTCCAGGGTGGGGGGCTCCTTCAGCGGAGTGCCCAGTTCCCCGGGAGAGAAGGACAGGAAGGAGCAGTAACCATCTGTGGAGGAAACAGCCAGGAAGGAGCCGTCACCAGACCTCAATAGGAGAAAAAGAAAAGAACCAAACATGTATGAAATGAAGGTTTAGTTTCCCACTTATATTTTTACAAGTCTTTGTAAAGTGTCCTCCTTTGTGTCACCAAACCTACATCAGTCAGAAGAGCAAAGGAAGTTACTGTCTGTCCAGAGGTCAGATCTGAACTACAGAAAAAGGTGTTTAAGTTTACTTCTCCCTTCACTGGAAACTTATCATAAAAAGAGCTGAAACTCCAGGAGCTGGTCTATCCTTTGATGCTTTTAATGTGATTCTAAAAGACTTGGAGGAAGGCTAATTCAGACTGTGGATGTCCTTCCTGATATATTCTTTATGGGAGTTGATTTTGGCATGTTAGTGGCTCCTTGTAAAATAACCTTTCTTAGTAACTCAAAAGGTTTACATCAGTCTTCAGCAGTTAATCAGATGAGTTTAATAAGACTCCTTCAACCCTGCTGAGGCATCATAACAGTTTCTTTTTCACACAGAAGGAGGATTGTAGTCTCATCTGAGACGCAAAGATTTGTCTTCATGTCTAGTATGAGGAGTGGGGAAAAATAAGAACAATGTTTGTAGATAAAGGCTTGAGGTCCAACATTTCCATTAATGCTGCTGTGGATGTAAACTCAATTAAATCAACTGGCAAAGTGCTCTCAAAAATAAATGAATGCAGTGGATTTTATGAAAATGTGCTTTGGTACCGGTCTGCTCCAACAGCTGTGTACCGCTCCCAAACATCTCTAATTTATTGAGTGCCTGAAATTTGTCTGGTTTTGTGCTCTTGTCTGACTGTATTCACCATTTGGGGATGAAATAATCTCTTTGTGCATATTCATTCATAATTTAAGTGCTGTTCAATGATGCATTTTGAAATGAATCTTTCTGAAAAGTCATTTAAGAGAACTGCACAGAACACAACTTGATCCTCCAACTATTTGAAAATGTCTAAGAAGGCTGAAAGACAGAAGCGGGTCCTGGGTTACCATGTGAGATCGCTGAGTGTGTGGTAGTGGACGTTGGACACCAGGCCGAAAGGAAGAGTCTGCTGCGTGTCGTACAGGAAGATGGAGTCCTCAGACGCCACGGCAAACACCATCCGGTACGGCAACTGGAATACGTTAGGAAGAGGCTGAATAGAGCCATCTGTACAGGAGGAATGAGAAAGACCTTTAACAGAGGGCAGGGAGTAGATTACAGAGGGGTTTGTGTGATGTTGCTTCAGTTCTTGCCTTCTCCCTTCTTGGTCCTCAGTTCAAAGTAGACGGGGCAGCAGCGCACCGCCAGCGTCGCTTTTGATGGGCAGGGCAGATGTGCAATAGGCCTAAAACACACACAGAGAGTTATACATCAAATCCCAGAGTTAATAGAGAACAAACCATATGACGTGGTTTTGTAGGCCAACCAGGAAGTAACATCTCCATGGCGTCTAATGAGAATACACCTCTGGGATGTTTTCATTGGATTTTGGATCATTAATAAATAATCTCTGTGTTAAACACACGTTTCTGAAGCGTAGGCGTTTTGTTCAGCAGGATAATGCGGCCGACAGAAGTAAAAAGCTAACATTATGCTACAAGCTAACGACACCACGGTGGGATGATTGTGACGTCACTAGCGTTATGCTTCAGACGATCTCTGATAAACTAATCCACGTAGCTTAATAAATAGTTTACTAACATAATATTCACCTTAACCTAAAGATTAAACCTACAGGAGACATCTCCGACTAGTGAGAGAGTTCCCGCCCTCTGTGTCCGCGTGATGACCTTAATGTCCCCGACAACCACTGTAGTCACATTTAGCCGCTTGTTAGCAACCGCCTTTTTAAAGACGAGTAAAAACTTCAAACTTCACAAGTGGAGGTATTACCTAACGTAGTTTATGTGCTCTAACAAACACCAACATCTCTTCAGCTTGTGTTAACCACAGACCTTATTTCAGGAGTCTAACCACAAACACATTCAAAATCCCGTTGCTTTTAGACGTTAGACCCCATGGAGCTAACATGCTAACTTACTTCCTGGTTTTAGGACTCATTCCTGTGGCGCTCTATACATTCGTATTATATAATA